AAACATTGGAACTATTTTGAGGAGAGAATGAAACGTTTGTCACAGTTTTTCTGTTCTTTCAGAGTCCTGATCACTGCTTCCTATCACTGTGTTTTCCAACTTTCAAGAGTTGAAGTGGAAAGAGGCAAAGCTAGAGCCCTACAAAGCAAAGAGAGTGGACATGAATGTTAAAAATCACCCAGGATAATAGCAGGAATTGTGGTGGAGATAAATGTTGAGTCTGCGAAGGCTCAGGAAAAGCTGGGTAACGGGTACTTTCAAAGCTGAGGCAGTGAGGGTACACCTTCAAAACAGAGGTTATAGGACAGCAACCTGGATGCACAGTTTTTATCCATAGACACCTGAGAGTCTTCATCTCTCTCTCTTTTTTTAAGATTTATTTATGCAAACAGAACTAGGGGACAGACCAGAGGTGCAGGGGCGGTGAGAGAATTCACCAGAGACAGAGCAGGGAGCAGAACAGGCAGATCAATGAAATACGCTGCTGAGGGGAGTAGCGGCTGAGACAGGAGAGGTCTGCTGCCATGTGGATCACCTCCGGGGCTGGGATCCAACTTGCACTGAAATAGCTGTGGCTAGCTTGCAGTGCTGCATCCCAACCTGTTATACCACCAAGGAGGGCTCTCTTCAGCTTTCTTGAAGGGGTCAGGGAGGAATCTTTTCACCAGAGGACACAGAGACTCAGCCTGATAGATGCCAAAGGCAGGCATTTCTCCCAACACCTTTTTGTTGGTCAAGAGATTTCCTCAATGAAATTTTGTCTGATGATTCTACTGGGGTTAACATGAAAGGATAAGCAGCATCTGAAGTGTCAATAAGGAGACCCAGAATGTGATGGCCTCATGGATTGACAAAACAAGCAATTTCAAAGAAAATATCCAAGACTCACTGTATCTGGAGAAACTTGGTGAATGAAAAACACACACTTCAGAGTAGGGACCAATGAATGTGCTATGTAGAGGCCATCAGGTAAGCTAATGGGGGTTGAAGGCAGGCTGGAGAGCATCAACAGTGTGAGGGCTCTGGCCTCATCAATAGGCGCCAACTTCAATTCTTCCTAGCTATTTTCAGGTGGATGTGCAGAATGCAGAGAAACAGAAGTTCCGTATCATTGATGAACGAGCCCATTTTAAAACATGGGTACTTTTAAGATACCTAATACAAACCACTGGAGGCCACAGCAAACATGCCTATGGCTAGATCTAGTCCATGGGGTGCCAGATCGTGGGCTCAGCTTTGGCATATGAGAGACGTTGGCTGGAAGCTGGTTCTGGGCTCCTCATTAAAGTACTGTGATACTCAGTCTTCTCAACCATAAAATAGTGGGGGGGAGGGTTTGAAGGGGGCTGGAGGGGGAGAGTTAGGTATGCTCTTCATGTCATTAAATTCATGTGTTTTTCCTATATCTGTTAACTAGCAATTACTTAGTAAATGGCTCTCATATAGACTAATGAATTTCTCAACATTTCCTTACAAAACTTAACACATCATTTTAGAAATGTAAAAGAACTCTGTGTCCACAGTCAGACTTAGCTTAAGGTGTAGGTAGGAAAGGCAAATGGATTAGACCTTTTCCCAGTTGTACTGCTCTAGTACCTTCTCTCTTTAGATCCATGGATCCTATAGATCCTGTAGTTCAAGAGAGCTTGAAAGTCATAAGGCAGAAATACACACGTTATATACTAAGAGAAGCAATAGAAATACCTTTATATCATCAAAACATTTATTAAAGTGTTTCCATGCCTTGATAGAAATGGGACAAAGTGAATTCAACAGACCCCAGTTCCTTTTCCTCTTGGAAGATATAAAGCATAGCCTCATGACAATACGATTTTATATTCATCTAGAGGCCAAATGAATTGAGAGAGAAATCAAGCAGGGGAGGAATGCCTGCAATCATTGTTAACAGAGGAAACTGACTCACATCATATGGGGGTGGGGAAATCACTTTGCCTTCTCCATTGATCAGAGCACTCATCTCTTCATGAGATTTCAAAATTGAAGAGATTCCTCGCTGAGTTAACATGCAACGTTTGGGAAAAGAGAAAGGAGAGTATTTCAAACAGAGTGTTAAGCCTTGAGCAGAGTCTCAGGGATGAAAAACATCTTGCTTCGGTGAATTTAAATACATTTGCCTGGAAAGATATGATCTTGGTGAAGAGCTAAGATGTGAGTGTCTAGGCAATTCTGAGAACTCTCAGAATAATGTGATGTGAGAGAACTTCCTGCTGTTGAATTCTCAGGCAGTGGAACTCCAGGCACTGGAGTTGCAGGCCCAGAAAAGCTGCCTTCTTCCAGCTGAGCGCTGACTTATGTGGACTTTTTCTCTTCTGTTACTTCCTGAGTTACTTTAGAGCTACTGAGTAACTCAACTAAGAAAGAGACAATGGCTTAACTTCTAGCTGTGGTTATGATGCTTTCACGCTGGCAGACTCGTTGAACAATGACACCTCCACTGGACATCGAATACCTAGAGCAGAAAATGTGCTGAGACTTCTCCTCAGATTATATCCCCTTTACCTGGCCCATTCTGTAGATGTCTTGTCGTTCTTGTTTGAAAGATAGTTTGTTTTCATTAGGCTTGATTTGTCACAAAGCTTTTTTTTTTTTCTTTTAAAAACATTGTGTCCAATGATCAACTGGGAATTTTAAAAAAGGAGAATGAAGAGTCTAATTTATTATAAATTCTTTGATTTTCAGTTAAGCTACAAGAAAATAGGGATAAGTTGATCTGAAATGTCATAATGAGTTAAAGATATGTAAGTACACACACATCTACAAGTCCATGCTTCTAGGTGCCAATATATGTGAAGAGCTAAGATGTGAATGTCTAGGCAATTCTGCTTTTTGTGTTTTGAATACAGATAAGAGAAATAAAAAGTAATATTTAAAATTATAATAGTCTAAGAAGAAAGTGTGGCGGTGGATTTGCTGCTTGGATTCATCTTTTCTCCCTCCCTCTATGCAGAATTCTCTGCATCTGCTTATATAGCCCCCTTGTTACTACCATTGTCTCTTTGGACAAGTTACTTAGCCACATTCTATTTTAGTTACTGTATTACTTGTGGGTATATTGATTATAAGAGCAGCTAATTTAGTTCAGTGATGGAGATTAAATGCTTAAATACATGTAAAAGCACTTAAGTATTGAACAAATTATCTATGTTATGAATATTATTGTAATAGTTATGACTGAGATTGAGACTCAAGGTAGGGCTAAATTGTGTTAGACCTAGTATGAGTTTCTCAGGTACTCAAGCTACTATTAAATGCCCTTAGCCAACCATTCTTCAAATATCAGTGCACACAGGATGTTAGCCTTTGGGCAAAGATTCTGGTTTGTCACATGCCATAAAGGTCTAGAATCTAAAGACGGCCCAAGAAGTAAAATGAGAATTCACAGTAGAGTGAGGTCTACTGAAGCATCAGTCTACTAATTCCAAGTTCTACAAATTCAGCAAGTAATCTACTTGAAAGGAACTCTAATATTCAAAATTCTCTGCATCGCTTATATAGTCCCCTCAGCTAAACACTATATACTTAAGGCGATAACACTTTTTTGAAGAATAATTACTCATAAGTGTTAAAGTCCTTTTTCTTCTAATTGTAAACGGTGTCCAAGTTGTTCTCGGATTGCTAGATAACACTTTATAGACTGTAAGGTTAGAGGATTTAACGAGGGCCTCATATTTCCACTAACTTAATGAATACTTCCAAACACATGAAAAAAATAAGAAATTTTCATGTCCCTGTCTTACTTTCTTATTGAAGCTTGTGGAAGTTTCCGGGCACAATCATATCAATAATGCATAGCCATAGGCAATTTACCAGTTAAGTAACTGTGGTTTAGGGTTTAATTGACAACTTGTTACCTTAATAATAATTCTGGACAAGATATAACAGAATGAAGTGGTGTGCCTAGTGTGTTACTGCTGCCTGTAAACACAAATAAGGTCCTTCGGGTTTAATTAGAGGACCTGTAATTATACCTGAAGCATGCTAATGCTAAAGTGGAAATATTGGACATCTGGAAAAGGAACCTAGATTTGGTCACTTGCCTTTTGGAAACTAAATCCATGAAATTTTCACTGTCCAAAGGTGCAGTGTTGCTCACACCTGTGGTTTGTACTTGGGCATAAATGACAGAGGTGAATCTGAATGAGTCTACTAGGCAGAATCATTTAGAGGAGGTCAGTGGAATAGGAATAAGACATTAAAATCATGAGGGATCCAGGATGGCTTTTTTGACCTTAACATAAAAAGAAATCATTTGAAAGGAAGCATTGGTATAAAAGAAGTGTTTGTCCTAAACAAAAACACACACGGCCCCTGGACTTAACAAACATGGAAGATGTTGAATATATTTAGAGAGTCTGTTGAGGGAAAGGAGGAGAGAGGATAACATGTGGTTTCCTCATCTCCATGGAGAGGCCAGGAAGGGGCACACACTGCAACAGTACACACAGTTTTGTTGAAGAGCACTCGCTTCCACTTCTTACCTCTTAACATTTTTTTTTTTTTAAAGTGCATTTATTTATGAAAACAGAGCTGGGGTACAGGCCAGTGGTACATGGGGTGGGAGGATTCACCAGAGACAGAGTAGGGAGTAGAACACGCAGATAGATGGAATACATAACTGAGAGGAGCAGTGAGTGGGCCAGGAGAGGTCTGCCGTACCATGTGTATCACCTCCCTGGCTTGGGATTGAACTTGTCCAAAGACGGCTGTCTCTAGCTGGTATGCTGCACTTTTAACCTGGTGTGCCACCAGGTGGCACACTTCAACCCTCTTTCCTAACACCAACGATACAGCCATATATGTGGTATATAGACACATGTTACACACTTGTATATAGCTATATATAACATATATGTATATTTTACCCATATATCATATTTATACATTCCACCCTGTCAAGTGCATTAGAAATATGAATAGTTAAGATAGGACACTTATTTCCATTTTTCCTTTCCAAAGTCACAAAAAGCAAGTCTTTTTTTTTTTTTTTGTTTGTCCCATATATATGGCTTTAGGAGTGAAGGAAATTGTCCCTGTCTTTTATAGCTGAACCCATCTAAAAAGAGTTCTGCGTAGTTTAGGAATAAGCATTCAGACTTGTTGGTGTATTTTCTGTTTTCTCTTTCCCAATAAAAAGGTACTTCCGATGTCCTTCAGTTACTAGGAATCCACTTGATGTGCTATTGTTATATATAAAATATGTAATTTAGATTGCTTTAGAGTAAAACTCCTTGAACACAGACAGCGCCGTTTAAGTTTGTGGTCTAAAGGCAAGAGGAAATGGACTGGAAAAGTAGTAAAACTTGGCTTCAAAGGTTTAATAGTGATAGTCTGGAGGCCCATTGCAGTGACTCACTCTTTAGGAGACACAGGGGATATGGCAGGCGTGTGTAGTGAGGCGATTCCTGGGTACTCAGCTATGACATGGGCTCTCAAAATGAAATAGATGGCAACTAGCTTGGCTTATTAATGTTCAAATATTAATATCTGTTTTTTCTTTAAGAGACATTACTGAATATTTATTGTAAAATGATAGTTTGGGAAAAGAAACATATTCAAGAAATGCATCTAAACAGGGTTTGAATGACTTGAGTTTAACTCCGGAGTATCAGTAAACTGATTAAAATAAGTTTCCCATCCAAATGCATATTCTAAATTAGGGCGACTTGAAAAAATTTCCACACTTCATTACAGCTTTTCACTTGGACGACACATGGCCTTATTTTCCAAGACTCTGATGTGATATTTGAATGCAATGGTATTGGAATGCAAATTGTTAGTATGTAATCTTAAGACTTAAAAAGCAAATACCTTACTTTGTTTATGGACAAAACTATTAAAATATTTCGTGTGAGCTTGTTATGCTGATTCTCCAAGAACATAAACTATCTTTGAAGTGGTATATTACTTTTAAAGCAGTCATTCTCAAGCTAACAATCACACTGAAAACACAAGCTATTCTTATTGTACATTCCACATAGAATACTATGCACATGATGCTTTGATTCAAATAATATTCTTATAAAACCTTGTTATTGTTTGAGGTCTATATTCAGAGTGGCAACTTTTGTTTTTGATGGTTATTCCATCCTGAAACAATTTCCTCCCTGACCAATTAAGCCAGAATTAGGAGCACATTTAGATTTGAGGCTTAAACTTCTCAACTGCCTGCTTTAGAGAAGACAGCCTTCAACAGTTGTATTCATATTGTCTCAGAGGGCTCAAAAAAAAATAGAATCAATTCCCTTGAGTATCTCTTTCTGGAAGAGGATTGTTGCTTTTGTTGCTTTGATCTTAGTATGCTGTACATTTTTATTGGCTGTAGGATCTAAAACAACCAAAGCCTCATCTGTTTTTTCTGCTGTGTACATTACATAATGTGTTCCAATCTAAAAGTAAAATGTCTAGATGCAAAATATTTAAAAATCATTTATCATTAAACTTGATAAAAAGGTTTCCAGGGTGTAAGAAAACTCTAATATTTGATTGCTATGCCACAGACTGCTAAAAATATACACATGCATATTAGCAACAACATCCAGAATGTAGGCATACACTCATACTATTTTGGACCCCTTTTTCTACCACGGCAAGGCTGTTTCAGCTAATGTAGCAGCTGGCTTGGTTATTACTTCTATAATATAATCCATAATGCAAAAGCAGCTCCTTCCCAAACATTTTAGAGCAATGCGAGTTGTTTACATGTCTCTAGTAGGTAATTTTCCTATAACTTTGTGCCAATTGGTGTCATACTATTTAGTGAAAATCTCATTAAATCCAGACCACTGCACTTAGTTCAATTTCTCTCATATGGAGAATTATAGGAAAATCATATTAGCTGATGTGAGTCCATCTCCATAAAGTAAATACAAGGTTTTAGAAAGTGTCTGTAAACTATAAAAGTGGAGTTGTATAATTAAACATCAAATAGTCCAAGTAATAAAAGTCATAGATCAACTGTCTCTCAGTTCTAGTCAAGTCCTTTAAGTACTGTCTCACGACCTGAGCATTGGTTCTTTCATCCGAAGAGTGTCTATCCTTGAAGTTGGGAAATTTCAGCTCTTTTGGAGCACCTATCAGCTGTAAAAAGTAATTGGCATCGTCTTCCAAAGTTTCAAATTTCCCCACAAAGTCATAGTTGATCAAACACGGATAGCAGAGTTTGTTGACCTTCTCCCAGTGTATGTCCATTCCTATTGGACGGTGGGAATCCAGCAGATAGTGGACAAATTCTTTGAATTTGACCCCAGATCCATTATTTAGTGCTTCTTCACAAGCATTCGGCCGATACTTCTTGATAATCGCCTTTCCGAATACTGGATGGTAGTAACTGTTGGGGTGCTCAAATTTGTCCCTAAATGCTGACACCAATCTTTCCATGGGATCACGGACAAACACTGCTTTGGTGTAGGTCTTTAAACGAGTATATATCCCTTGTAAGTCAAAGCTGTCTAGCTTTTTCAAATGCTTCCCATAGTGGACAGCATCATGGGAGATGTTATATGTAGAAGGCGCTAATCCATTTAGTACCATCAGAATTCTTTTCCAGTTGGAACAGCCAGCTTTGGGTACTTCACAATATAAGACTTTGTGTTTATCTTCTACATAGATCCTGGATACTACGTGAAAAAGATGTGATTGAGGACGACTCACCCCACTGTATTTCTTGCAAAACTCCTGAAGGAAAGATCTACGCTTCTCTTGAGCAACACTGATTTTCTTCCATTTGTCGTCTTTGACTATACTTTTGTTTAAAGGGCGAGTGTCCAATGGCCAATTGATCTCGAAAAACTTCTTGAAAAGGGTCTTACCCCCTTGATGAGTTTCTGTCAACTTAATTGTTGGAAACCCTGTGGTTTTACTCCAAGCTAGAGTCTTTCCTGGTGAGTGGGTGGTGTCTGCTAAGACCCTCATAGGTCCCTCAGAGTTGGGTAGGTTTTCCTTGGGATCTGTTAGCAGGTGGGGCTTGGAGTGCTGTTAAAACAGAGAAGGGGGACTGTTGAGAGCATATTCACAAATGTGGATACACTAGCTCAGGAAGTTAACATTATTTGCTTTAAAATACTACTGAGTCTCGAGAACATACTTCATATAAGCTGCCGGAACAATTTAGTAAAGCATGCTGGATATATGTTTCATATAATAAGTTTCTTTATAGAAACATGCTGATGAAAAATAGCATTCATGCATCATTTTGAATGAAAGTTTCACATTTCATATTATATATATTTGGGTTGCTTATTATTCATTTAATGTTGGTGCTGGCTTATGTGTATAAATTTTCTCATACTAAACTATCTGAACAGTATTTGGATTAAGCTACCAGTTATTGATTTGAATCTATAATCATAGTAAATTTACAATTATTTTTGTACTATCTTTATATCTACTGTTATCAATTCTATAATTTTACAAAATGAAAAAAAAAAAGGATATGGTATCCACAAAATGGAAAAGAAAGGATCCTGAATTTTCATCTTAATTTTGACTGTAGCGAAATATAACTAAACATTCTGTAGGTCATTGATTCTGGAGCTATTAAGGTATGTGTTAGACCTGCAAGTATTGATTTAGTTAGTGTATTTGATGTAGATACAAAATCTGTATTTTGTATCTTGGATTGAGATTTTGTTGTTTCTGAGAATAATCTGTAATGTATAGAGTAGTTCAAAGTTATAAACTTAAAATCATATTTAATTATAAAACTCTGGTAACCATTTCAGCACTTTCAAAAGTGATACACATTTTTTTTTTCTCCCTTGGAAAATGTGTTATTTGTCTAAATTCATTTATCACAATAATTTAAGAACTGTAATCAGAGCATCATACAAATTCACTCATGCATATGATTATGGATGATAATTCACCTTCCTTCCCGAGTGAAAAATGACTGGGAAATCCAGAAAATTCTACTTGATGTCCTGTTAGTGAAATGAATCAAGCCATCTATCATCTAGACTAGATCCTTATATGGAAGACAAGGATTACAAGGTGGCATTTACTGAGCACAAAGACAGTCAAAATTCTCACTTGTACTCTGGCTTACATAGCGAGGCTTTGACCTTTGAGGTCTTAGAGCAGAGAAGTTATATGCTCTTACTTAGACTTGAAAAAAAAATGGTTGAGAAGATTGGACTGAAGATACTTATATGGTTGTCAGTGTGTAACGGGAAAATTAATGAATAATAGCAGAGGAATCAAGTACAGTGGACAGGAACCAACTCTTGGTGCCAATGTTTTTCACTAGCTAAGCTTTAAGGGGGAGGTTGATCTTTTAAGTACAAAAGATTGTAATATGTGATCATCATATGCCAACTTGTCTAGCTCCATGAAACAGCTACTCAAACCTTCCACACCATTGACCTATTTGGGGTTTCAACCATAAAGTCATTTCACTGTTTTCTTTTCAGAGACTTCCAGGATAACTTAAAAGCCCTGAATCTCTCTTTACTATGACTTGTAGTTCATAAGTTTTCACAGATGTTATAAAACTTGATTTTAGGCCTGAAAGATCATGGGTTAATGGCACACTGTAAGGGAGGAACTGAAAATAGGCTGAAATAAGATTGCTTCTTCTGCTACTGCAACTACAAATTGCTATTATTATAATTGTGGTAGTCATAGGAATAACATTCTATCTCAGTGATCTAGTGAACTTCATGGTTCCCCAGTTTCCCACCACTATTCAGAATATAATTTGTGTGTTTCTGAATATGCCCTAATCAGTTGTTTTTCCTGACCCAATAACAAAACAAGCAAACCGCCCCCCTCCCAAACTTCAAAGCCAAAATCATCCTTCCACTGGACTCCTGCTTTCCTACTTGTGGTCATCAAATCCCCCTCAACCTCCAAGGACTTCTGGTGTGTTTGTTTCCCATGACTTTCTCTAAATGAAACCCGGCTGGCATGGGAGACCTCAATTTTTCAAGCAGATGAAATTTTGCTTCTCTGAAACTACTTGTTCCTCAGACCAGAAGACAGGAAGTTATTTCTTTCTACTCCTGCTGCTTCCAGGATACTACCCCCCTGCAAAACCTCCAGCTTTTTTTTGAAGAACAGTTTCTGTTGAGTCTCCCTTCCTCCTCACACAGACACCTGCCTTTAACACTAACCTTTCCACCTACTGCACTGAAAACTTAACTTCCTAACTTAAGACTTTGTATCTTCCTCCCCACACTTGCTATGTCGAGGACTCCATTATCCAATACTCTCATGTGCTGACCACCTCATCCCTACTGAAGTGTTCTTTATTTCATGCAGAACCTGCCATGGCCTGCACAACTCTGTCACATCTCTGATCAGCGGAGTCTAACTCACCTTCTCACTCATTTCAGTCCCTTCAGCAATTCACTATGTTATCCAAGCTCTTAGCAGCCAGTTAAGCTCCCAGAAAGTCACCTCTATAGAAAATATTTCTCTGTTAATTTTATCTAAATTTATGGTCCTCTCTTAGGTTCTCTCCTGCAGAACCCTGCTGATTGTCCTCACAGCACATAATCCAATGCAACATGATTTTATCTCCTCCCATGTTTCTACTCCACTCCACTCTATCTCGAGCACACTAGAAAATGACTGTAGAGATCTTATCTTTGCTGCTGTCTTTTGGATCTCTGGAGCCTGGCACAATGCTTGGCACACAGGATGATCAATCAATAATTACTGAATGAGTGAATATGATTATAATTTAACGGTACTTTCCCAAACAAATGCTTATGACCTTGTGGAAGAAAAACATTGTTAATCAAGGTCAAGGTTAACTTAGATAAGTAATTTGCCAATTTATGTTAAGGTACAGAAAATCAAACAAGTATTTGGCAAAAGATTAAAAAAAATAAAACAGGTACACACAAGAGCTGTGACATGGTTAAAGCACGTGTGGAGCCTTACCTCCTGCCAAATCAGGTTGGTTCAAAGTCATTCAAAGCTTTCGTAGAACCCCTAGAGGCTGGCAGGCCTCACTATGGGCACCCTGAGGAAGAATCTCTGGGCTGGGGCTCCTGACTCCAATTTGAACAAACTCCCCAGGTATTTTCTGGGTAGCCATGGCAGTTGGGGGCCACTCAAGTACAGTATAGCCAAGGAAAGTGAAACACAGGACTCTCATATATCCGAGAGGGAAAGAGCCAAATGAAGTGGCCAGTAAGCAGAGCCCAAGACTGCTGGAAGCTGGGTGTCACATCAGCTCTCCTGTGGAACACCCCTCATATTTATCCACTTATGTGCGTTGGAGGTCATGTTTCCCAAGAAAATTTCTAAGGACCATTCAGTAATGGGAGGGGTCGCTACTCATACAGAAGGCTTCATTCTCCTGTTAGTTTATTTAGTACTAGTCAGTTTCCTCATATCTGTTTAAATCAAGATAAAGCAGAGTAACTATACCTCACAGGGCTGCTAGCTGGAGAGTTATTAGGCCTTCTCCGGCAATGCTTTATTCACCATCATTCACTTACTAAAATCATTAAAATATGGTAACATCCCTCACACCCTTCCCCCAACTCCATATCGTTCTAATCATAACAAAGGCTTGTCATGACTGAGGTTGGGCGTACCAAAAACGAGGTTAATCACATATTAAATTCAGATTTACGCCAAAGCATTTCCATCATCATCTTAATGACAGTAACAGCAACAGCAATAATGAAGACAGTAAACCTTTACAACTCCGTTTTTATTTGGGGCAGCTCATTCTGATTTTTCCTAAGAAAAATAGACAAAAAAGCCCACTTCTCCTGCTTCTTCCCAAAGAGGCCCCTCCTACATGCTTTTCTGTTTTGGAAACAGTTCTATTACATTCCGGTCGTCTTCTCACAATATCTGAGAGATGCTTTAAAAATTAAAGTAAATTAGGTAATTTACATCTCATAATGTCTTTTTAAAAATCTTTTTTTCCCATTATCTCTTAATTGGACTTTAGGTTCCTCCTAATTAATCTCCCTGAAAACTGTTACCAATTAGTATTCATAAAGCATGTTATTTTTTTTCCTTTAAAGTTGGGACTGGTTCAACTATCTTTCAACTAAAGCCCAGCCAGACTCCTTAGCTGGCTCTCACAGCCTGTCACTGCCGTCACTTGTCACTGTGCTCTGCTCCTTTCCTGACACATATTCTGTCCTCTAAGGGCTTCCTTCAGGCTCCCAGAAGTCCCTACCCATTTATTCCCCTCCCTGGGACTTTCTACATCTCCCAAGCTGATATAAAATCCTGCTTTGTTCAAAAAAACACACACACACATACACACCCCAGTGAGGAATTCTACTCCAGTGAGGAATTCTATGATGTTAGCACGGTGACTGTACTACCTTTGGGAAAGTAATTTTATTCTAGCTGACACTGTTACTTGATTTTTCTGTTGGAGAAACTCTTAGCCACACTAGACTAAACTATGGCAAAAAGTTACAGTTCTCAATAAAAACCTTTAGTGAGTGAATATTATTACAAAATTAGCTGAGAGACAAACTGTTAAAAAAATAAGTCAAATGGAAAAATCAGTATAATACTTATTACCTCTGGAGCAAATCTGAGAACCTTGTTCTTCTCAGCTTTCAACGCCACAGTATCAATATACATTCTCTGTGGAGTCTTCTTTGATCTTCAACCCTGAAATGAATCACCTCTTCCACAAGAAAAGTCATGGGACAGGCTATCTGACATCAGGTGTGGTGACAGACACCAGCACTGGAGAGTGGATATGACATTGCAGTCTTTGCCCCTGTGCAGCTAACATTCTTGGAGGTAAATATATGCTAAACAGGTATTTGCACAATGAACTGATCTATTACCAGCGTGCTATCAGAGATGGGGAGAGCAGAAGTGGGGTGCAGAGTATAAAGACAAATTTGATCCAGCCTGGGTGTTGTTTAGTATTGTTTGATTTACTTGAATTAGTTGTTACATCTAGTTGTTTAAGAGACTACATAATCAATTTGTTTAGGTCAGTGTATAGTCTTAAAAATCTATGTAACTCCCCTACTCAC